GGGAATTTTCCTACTTGTGGCCGGTAACAGCTTTTAGAATTTTATGCTGATGTGATTGATATCAGTAAATAGCCATAGAACATTAATCTATCAAATAAAGAAAACCAAAAATATGTTGTGTAATCTTCACGATCAAAATGTTGAAATCAATCCTAATTATGGTATGCTTTAAACATAATTATTTTAAAAAATTGTTTTCATTCATAGTTACATCTGAGTTCGCTGTCTTGCTTCGATTCTTCGCCACGAACGCTTCCAGAAAAGCATCACAGGGGAAAGACAGCACTCTCGGAGTTCCATACTCATTAATACGTGTTGGCTTTGGTATTGTATTAGGAATGTATAATGAACTTTATCTTCTTTATTAGAAATAAACATAATGAAGATAACACGAAGACTTATCGCCAGAGAGAAATATCACTGAAAACAAAATCTTGGGCTAAAGCTAAAAGACATCATCCTTAAAATATGTTGAGAATTTAAATTTGCTATATTAGAATATGTTATTATGATAATTTTTTAAGTAATTTATACCTTTATGATAAATTAGACGTAAATTAAGTACTAGGTTTTTAAATTGTTTTAAAACTTAAAATGTCTGTACAATCAAATTTATATACAGTATCATTTAAGAAAACAATATTGTACAGGACAACAGTGTAATTTCGCTTGTTAATATAATTTTACAAATATGAAGTTTATAAATATAAATGTTCTTTTTTCTATATCCTTGAAATGTGAATTTTGCATCAGAAAATTTGACATCAAAGCAGCTCATATTGCTTTGATGTTGATTTAGTTTTTGTGTTAAATTTGATTCACTTGTAAAAACGATTGTAGAACACGTGATAGCTATGTGTAAAACATATGATTAAAAGAATTTCGCATGTTTTGAAATTTGGAAATATCTTTTATCAAATTCGTCATCGTCGCCCGCGTGGCGCAATGGTTAGAGTGTGGTCTGCTCTAAAGTCGCAAAGTAAGGAGTTGTTCTTTACGTCGGAGGTTCGAATCCCACTGTGGGACGTGGAGACATGTCCTTAGGATGAGTTCGTGTAAACCCCATGTCGCAGTAGGTGCTGGTATGAAAAAGATTCCTCCCTGCTCAATGGTCCCGTGTACCGAGTATAAAACAAAATTCTCTCATCCAAAAGACCGGTCTCCACAGTGGGATTTGCATCCGCGTCTTAACGATAAACTCCTTACTTCGCGACTCTAAAACAGATGCTCTAACCACTGCGCAACGCGGGCTACCACAACAGAGGAATATGTGTTTATATATGAACTTAATTGAAGCCAGTTGGATAAATTGATTGATTTTATGTTGTTAAACCTCCTCTCGAGAATTTTTCACTCTTATGGAAACACTAATACTTGCCGGTGGAGAGCTGCATATTTTGTCCTATACTCGGCACTCAGGGCCATTGAGCAGTGAGGGATCCTTTTCGTTCCAGCACCTACTGCGACATGTAACCTCGGTTTATACGGTCTCACGAGAGGGAGTCTTAAAATTGAGAGGAAACAGAATGCAAATATAATTCGGTGAAGTTTGTTATTAGAAAACATCATTGCTTCTTTTTCAGCATCATTTTGCTAATTCGTTTATGTTTGATTAAAATGCATTTAAATGATCCTTGGTCCTTGTGCTTCCCAGGATATAAATGCTTCCCGTGCTGTTTTGGATAGCATGAGTGCCCTCCCTTAGAATGCGATATACATTCCTTTATAGGAGCTTTCTCATAAACATTTTGATATAAAGTTTCCAAATTACATGCATTTTGTTTTCACTACCATAATTTTAACTATTTTTAAAAGAGATGTAAACATTCACTGAAGGGCTTTAATCGCAGACTTTTACTTTACTTTGAGGGTTACAAACCCTGGATTAAAAAAGGCAAACAGGTTTTCATATGAATATACCTGTGCGTAGAAAAACATTTCATTTTGTGTGTTGGATATTTAAAGGGGATGGATAATAACATACCTTAAAAATATATAATGCTTTCGATGTTCGTGCAAAATCACTAAAGCAAACGGTTTGGTTTAATCAATTTGTTTTTTCAAGATTGTAGTTTTAAATTAAAAAAACATTCAGAGAGAAAGAAAAGGGTAGTACAACAAGAGATAGACAGGCAAACGTACCTCATATATTAGGATATCAAGTTTTTAAAATTGCATACATCTTTTAGCTTTGTTATTAATGATAGGATTTTGCGACCTAAAATAATCTAGTCTCTTTTTTTTTATATTTCATCAAAGAGGATTAGTATTGGTCAATCCAATCTCCTTATTAGGATTGGTCAATCCAATCTCCTTTTTTTCTATCGTCTACCAATCATTTGAATTTTTAGTTGATGTAGTTTATACTTAAAACAAGGTACGGTTTCAATACAAATATTGCCTTGTGATTTTCTTAAAAAATGAAACTGATGTAAAATTTGAAAACTCATGCTTTCTGAACCATTGAAATTCCATGCGGAAAAATTATGCAGATCATTTTCCTTATATACATTTCTGAGTGCTAATTGTGATGAACATGCATATTTTCTTTCATTTTCTGAAGAAGTTGAGAAAGACACCAATTTTCAATGGAATTTTCTGTCAGAAAATATTGTCCACAGGTATCGACCACAAAGATTTTGAGATATGTGATCTTTAAATGAATTTTACAACATATCTAAAAATTGAAGATAAATATGACCTATCTGAGCTAAAAAATAAAAATACAAGATTAGGTGTACATTTAGACGATATTTTTTATTTACGTTTTCACCGATTTTGAATTTACATATCCCCACTTTTCTATAGTTAAATTGATTTAAACTGTGTCTGCTACTCAATTCCGAGTCAAAAATACATTAGTTATTGTTGTTACATTGTGATTTCTATAAACCGATATTGATTTATATGTTTAGAAGTAATTTACAGGAAAGTCCTATTTTTATATAAAGAAAAAAAACTGATAAAAAGATCTTTTTAATTTTGGTTAGTGTGAATTTTTTTTTAAAAGCCATGTAAGACTTTAAATTGGGAGACAGTTGAGGACACTATTTTCTGAAGGGAAATTACTCTTGAAATGGATCATTTTTAGACTTTTCTTAAAATAAAGAAATGTATGTATTAATGAGTCATATTCCCAGAAGATACCTTTATGCTAAACACTTTCTTCATCAATCAAAGCCATGAGCTTAACAGATACTTGAGACAGTTTCAAAACATTTTGAAAACATTTAATTTTTAGGGCACAATAAAGCAAAAAACGTACCTTCCTTTGCAATATTGAGATAAAGATGTTTTTCTTATTCTTGATAAATCAAATAAATTAAATAACCCTTGTCTGTAATATGGCTCTAAGGAGAAGTAAACACATATGTTCCTCGCTATTTATGTTGAAGACACCCAATTTTATTAAAATAGCAGGCTATTATTAGACACAGATCTGTTCTATTTTAGACAATTTTTAAGCGATGTCAAAGTTTGGGATTTAAAGCGGAACAATAACGATTCTATTCAGTTAAAAATTCGTTTAAATGCGCAGTATCGACAATTGCCAAAAATAAGAATCGAATTACCAGATAAACATATGCTCAAGATTCTAACGCTCACCTGGTCAAGTAAATTTTATTGGGATTTTTTCTCATCTTTTTCTACACTATTACAATTCTTCAGTCCAAAACTTGCTACAGATGTCGTAGATGAATAATAACTATTTTATAAATATTTATTGGTAGGTTATATTTGCTTACAAGGTCATTATAACGACCACAGAATTTACAAAATGCTGACTTTAAACGAGGCCGTTGAAATCCCTGTAAAATTAACTTTTCTGTCCGTAGCCTGTCTCTGTCTAAAAGCTTATCGTACACGAAGCATATTCTTGGTTTCTAAATACAGTAGGAGATGTACATGTAAACACCAGATGATAGCGGGATAATTCTACGTAAATTAGAAAGCTGACAATGGCAAAGGTGACTTCGTTTGTCGCTGAGTTAAAATCAAATTAGGTAGGGACTGTTTCTTCACCAGGTGCTCGGCTTTTTAAACAGAATTTTGAGGTTCTTCTGAAATGCCCTGGAAGACTGAGGTCCCGTCTCATGGCAGGTGCTGGCTGGATAATGATACCTCACTGCCCAATTTTCAATTTCAACCTGCAAAGGTCTAAATTTTAAGACCTTCATTGATACATGTTAGCGATTCTATATGAGTTAAACATTCTTGAATGACACGTCAAGCAACAAACAATCATTGTATCAATCCTATATATGCGCATGACCCTTATGGTCCCCATACAGATATGTGAAAGGATGTGAAAGACACTAGCTAGTGCCATTGATTTTACGTTCACTGGGATATATCGAATTGATATATAAATGAACGTTTACCGACTATAGACAAAAAAAGCCTCACCGAAACAAGAAGGTATGACTCTACTTCGTCGATATAATATTATATTAATGTCGGGTTGACTAATAAAAGACCACAGCAAGTGTTTTCTTCTCATTTAGAAGTTTCGGAATAAATTCTGCTTCACATGAATATACGTCAAATTATAAAGAAGTACATTTCCATATACTATTATTTCATTAAGTGCCTATTTTTACCTTTATTTATTAGCACCTTATATATTGTTATTAGTGTCATACTACTGAATACAAAGTTTGTCTTGTCAGGTGAGCTACAATAATAATTAGGGACCCCCTCTTTGATAAAAAAAATGTTTTAAATAACGCACAAAAACAAACCACAATACCAAAAGAAATATCAGAATCTATTTGCGCGTTTATTTTTAGAATCAAATATAAATAGTTATAATTATGTTACGTTGTTTCCTTTGTTGTTATATAGATATATAAATATAAACTGTTCCATATTACACAACGGTACTGTAGAATTCGCTTATAGGTATATCATATATAAGTTTTATGGTTGATTCTTTTCCATTTCTCTACTGATTTTTCTCTACGTTTTCTGTTTGATTTTTCTTCTGTTTTGTCTAATTCTGAACAAAAGATACCTTTTATACGTTTGTTTGTTGTTTTACGCCCCTCTTCAGAATAGTTCACTCGTATGGAGACACTTGCCGGTGGAGAGCTGCAAATTTTGACCAATACTTAGACCAGTAAAGCAGGGAGATATCTTTTTCGTGCCAGCGCCTATTGAGACGTGGTTCCTCGGTTTAAGCTAAAATATAATGCATTGAATAACAGATAGGAAACTGGGATTCATTATCAGCACATCAAAAATGACTGCAATACTTTTTTTACATGAATTGCTAGTATAATTTCTTTTCTAAAAAACGAAAATTCGTCGCTTTGTTAATCTTATGTATGTTATGGATACTTTTAGAGAGAATAAGGATGCCGATTTATGTTGAATTGCTATCGTCAGCCTTTGGTTTGATTTAATGCATTGTTGCCATGGCCCTACCTGGATTCATAACGGAAGAGGTAACTGCATATAACCTTTTTGAAAGATTATAATTGTATTTATTTCTATATAATAATAGACTAATCAGAATATTAAATAAGTGAATAGAAACGTCATTTGTTGTGCAACAACTAAAGGAAACGATCGTGTATTTTTCTTATAATAGCAATATATACTATTCGATTTTGTAGGTTAGCCAATTTAGCATTTTTTACGCCAGGGATTGTGATCGCCAGGAAACTGACAAATGCTCGATAAGGTCTTACGTAGCTTTAGATGAGAAATATAAGCTAAATGGGGCGCTTCGACTCTGTAAGTCTCTCTCTCTCTCTCTCTCTCTCTCTCTCTCATATTTTTTCGAAAAGTTTTCTACATAGTTATTTGATTAACTTCCGATTTTGAAAAGAAGTATTTTTAAATATTTACATTTACAATAGATTTCCCCTATAATTCTTTACAAACTATTTTCTCATGAACTATATGAAGCTAACACGCTTCATGATAAATCTGCCGGCGTGAAGCGTTGTAGTTCCTATACCTCATGAATCTTCAAAAATTTAATTTATTTCTTTAATAATATCTAATAGAGGGAGTATATTATGTAAGACTCCAAGGTCCGATGGTGACTCCAAAGTCCGATGGTCTCGCCACACCCAGACTGTCTGCGCCAAACCCCGATGGTTCGCTGTCTTTACGGACTCCAAAGTCCGATGGCCTGTTTCCTATGAGACACGTTGCGCTAAAGTGCGATGGTCTGACACGCCAAAGTCCGATGGTGCGGAGTAACAATCAAAGTTGATGACGTCACAATAGTCTGAAGTCATGCCATTGCCCTGCATTCAAAATCAATTCAATCAAATACAATTTTACTGATTTTTATCATTGTTTTCACCCACCAGAGGCATTAATTAGGGTTAGTACTTCCACACCATTCGACTGATAAGGGTTAGTTCTTGAACACTATTGGATTTATAATGTGTTTCTTCGAACCCACCCAAGAAATTAGGGTTAGCCTAGTCTTCCACTGATTTGGATTAGTCCAGCCAAGATATTTAGGTTATACCTGTATTAACTGAGTGTTACGCATTTTTCGACTGATTAGGCTTAGTTTCGCACCTTAATTCAAAAGATGAGGTTTAATATTATTGACACTTAATGTTTATTTTAAACAATCTATCCTCGTCGCTGGAGCGGTATCGCATTTTTGGCACAGCAGTACTATGACGTCATAAACTTTTATCGTTTTCAGCACCATCGGGGTTTGGCGTGTTAAACCATCGGGGTTTGGCGTAGACCATCGGACTTTGGAGTCCCATCGCACTTGGAGTCCTACATATATATACATGTATGTGTGAAATTTTAGCGGAATCTTAAAAAACACGGATAGAACAAATATAAAATAACCATTATTTTTCTCCAGCAATGATAGATGTTCAGATAGAGAGTCTCCTTGCTGTTGATCTTGGTGGAGTCGGATGGTCGATCCTTTTTTTGGAATACCAAAAGGAAAGCGTCGATTCCATCAACGTTCGTGATTGGGGGAATTTTTCTACTTGTGGCAGGTAATGACTTTCTACCTTAATGAACGATATCAGTAAATAGCTGTAGAGCATTATCTAAGGAAGAAAACCATAAATATAAGCGACTATCTACGCGTTAAAACCGTTTAGATCAATATTTAGATTAAGGATATGCTTAAAACAGAAATAAAATACTTTTTATGTGAACTTTTTTTCAATTCATAGTTACATCTGAGTTCGCTGTCTTGGTTCGATTCATCGCAACAACCGCTTCCAAAAAAGCGGCACATGGGAAAGACTTTTCTTTTGGAGTTCCATACTCATTAATACTTGTCGGCTTTGGTATTGTATTCATGCTTGTTGTTGTTATAAGGAGCTTTTACCTCAATCTCAGACAGAAAGATACCACGAAGACTAATCAACGGACGGAAGATGAACCGAGGAGTTATATCACTGAAAACAAAATCTAAAGCTAAAAGACATCATCTTTAAAATATATTGAGAATTTAATTTTACTATATAAGAATATGTCTTTATGATACATTTGGAGTTTTTCCTTTAGGTTATGATCAGTTAGACCTAATTATATAAAGTACTAGTATTTAAATTGTTTCAAAACTAAAAGCGTCTGTACTATCAAATGTTTAGTATTATTTATGAAAACAATATTGTACAGGACGACAATGTAAGTTTGCGTCATTACGAGCTTGTAAATATAATATTACAAATATGAACAACAGAATTTGTTTATAAATATTAGTGCTTTTTTCTCTGTCCTTGAAATAGTTAATGGCGATTTTGCAACAGACATCAAAGTAGTATCTCATTTTGCTTTCATGTTGATTTAGGCACACATTGAAAATGTTATCGTTTTGATATTTATTTTAAAAAAATACGATGACTTACAATGGGTTTCGAGTTAAATTTGATTCATGTATAAAACAATTGCAAAACACGTGATATATGTAGCTAGTGACTTAAAGAATTTCCTATTGTTTGAAATTTGAATATGTCTTTTATCAAATAAAGCAAAAATAAATTAATAACACTGAATGATGCCGTATTTATCTTTTAAATATCAAATAAGAGTCTACTTTTGAGGATATGAGGACTTGGTGCTTCTATATTTACATGATCTACAACTGCTTTTGAAAACTGTCCATAAATATTGCTACAGTACCATAACTAATTAGTAAGTAAATGGTTTTCTTCTATTGGATTTGAACTTAGATTTAATTTTAAAAGTGGTAATCCAACTTATACTCATAGAACCCTTTCTAATGCGGAAAGTCTTCAAAGTCATCTGTCGGTTTTGGATATTTTTAATATTCCAAGCAATCAAAATGAATTTAAATATAACCATAACTATATTGAATTCCGAAACTTCTTAAAGTCTTTAGAAAAAAAATACATAGCGGGTTGAAGTAAATGTTCTACCAATCCTGGTTCTTTACTCCTTACTAAGATGATTAATAGTAGTTAAGGATAAACTTCAAGAGTACTGTGCAGCAATATTTTCGATCCCCGCGAGAAGTGATGTAAACCAGATGTGGATACTAAATAAAAAATTCCAAGGAACTTTGAGAACATTTGAAATCACAAAATTTTATTAAAATCAACAGCATACAAAGGTACCACTTATTAACTTTAAATACAACCATTCCCCCAAAAATTAAAGTCCAGGCTTTCCAATATCATTGACATCTGCTTTTTCAATAAAAATGAAACTTGTAACCATTTTAAAATCCATTCATTGTACCGCAATAAAAATGCCAAATAATTCAAAGGCCCACTTTCACTGTCGCCAATAGAACATGTAACCATTTAAATGGAACATTGTGAACATTTCTAAATTTAAAAAAATCTTCAGAAAAATTAAAATTAACTTTGGGGAAGACAAGAGAAAGTAAAATAATGTTTATTAAATTTGATTTCTTTGGTAATATATACTAGTACTTTAGCAATTGCATTGCAACAATATTCTATATAAAAAACAATTGTTTAAATATAATTACATAATAATAAATACATGTATAAAAAATATATATGAAATAATATAAGTTGAAAACAAGAATACAAATAAATTAAGTTTTTAAAAGTATTGTAGAGAGGAGGGGGTAATCCACTGATTTATAAAGCGGTGAAAACCGAAACCTGATATATCTTATTATATATTATACTATAAATCGCAGCTGTAGTATATTCAAAACAATTTTACTAGTTGAATAGATTTTCAAGTTTTATTCATCATGCACTTTTGCATGTACCACATCATTATTATCCTGAAAATCATGACGATTTCCTTTCATATTATGTATCTAAGCTTGTTTATACCTAATAATATTATTTCAAAGTTAATTTGAATAAACATTGAACTTCATTAACAAAATATCAAAGTACTCTATCTGATATATTATAATATACTTTTTTTGTGAAATATTCCATTAATAAGTATTTACGATTTTTTTATAAGAACTTTTCCTCCAGAAAGTTTCAATATTAGTGCTGAATTTTCAAAATTTATTTTCCGGAATGCATAAAAAATAATTTCCTTGAAAAAAATTTCAGAGTGCGTTAAAGGGGCATAGACACAGTTTCAGCTTAAAATTTTCAAATTCATTTTTCCATTTTTACAAAAATTTAACTAAGGTTTTTCTAATGATCATCCAAAATTTGATCTTCAGTTGTAGTGATACAAGACGGATTTAGAGCTCTTAACCTTTGTTATGTAAATAGGATCCGTGTCATAATCCGTTTACATAAATTAATACACTGATAAATGTTCGTTCAATACAGATAAATTTAATAAAGAAGTTAATTCTAAATAAAATTAAGCAGCTTCTAGTGATTTGCTGAATTTCATTTTGTTATTAATCAGATATTTTCTATTTGTTTACAAAAACAAGGCACGAGCCCTTTTTTCATTTTGAAGAACTTTAAGTTCTGTATCTCGTTTGTTAATCAATGTATGATGTTCAAATCTTTGATGATCATAAGATGATGCCTTAGTTAAGAATTGTATGCATTAAAACTGCTTTTAAAAATTCAGTTGAAATTGTCTTTATGTCCCTTTATAATTGGGAACAAGTTATTCAACACACTTTGAAAAATGATTTTTTTTCTTTTTAAAGTGCGTTAATATGACCGAGGCATACAAGTGTTAAATGATAAGATAGAAACTTCTGAATGAAAGGTTAAATATACACAAAGAAACATAAACACATAAATATAAACATGCATATATGATATATAAATTAATACAAGTAAATGTAGATGCAGCATTTTCATGGGGTTATCAAATTGCAAAAAGCATGTGATCAAAAACCTATTTCATCAATTTTATGCAGTATACAAATACTATATTAGCGCACTTTGAAAAAGTTCTTTTTTTAATTATATATTTTCAGAGTGCCTTAAGTGTGTCCATAGAATAAAAAAAATGTTCCTGTACACTCTTAACGCACTTTGAAAAGAAAATTCAAAGTATGATGATTTTGTCCCAAATTTAGGAACACTTTGAAAAAGATTCAAAGGGCGCTAATTCTGTCCCAGTTTTAACGCACTTAAAAAAAAATTTCAATCTACCAGAAAGGTCTAAACCCTATATACGATATGCTTAACTTTATTTTCTTTTCTCTCCGGGAACAACGTAAAAATGCAGTTCGTCAGATATAAAATTTGACTTACACCGAGGCACTCGTTTTAATTTTTTAAAACTTGGGTTATCCTCAAATTATGTTTGTTTGCTCTCTCCCGATTCAGGAAGCAATTAGATTGAGAAGTTGATGAAATTTTTTTTCCCCTATATAGAAATTATTTTAGACAAGATAAAAAACCCTAAAGGAATAAAAAAAATAGAAATCTCTAAAAAAAAAATTGCTTCATATAAATATAATTAATATAGGGTATGCTTATTTTTTCCAAAACAGACCCCTTTTCAGGATATAATATACCTGATTATTCAAAGAACATGGTATATAAAACATATTTAATATTTCTTATATTGAGCATTGATTGTGCATGATTATTTCTTAAATCATTATTAAAAGCTGTTGAAAGTTACCCGATGTAACTCGATGTTTGTGAATTTAGAAAACTGCAAAACAGGACACATTTTTATGAATTTATAATTATACTACATTATAGCTTATATCAAACGGATGAAGTTGGTCCGGAATCGTGCTTATTAAATCTCGTGTGTGTATATATGACTCTAGTTGTATTTCCTTTTGACAGAGTTCTTTAATATTCTAATTACAATGCAAAGTGACGGCCTGAATAGAAATTTTTGCATAGAGTGAGTACTAAGTCTAATATATATATATATATATATATATATATATATATATATATATATATATATATATATATATATATATATATATATATATATATATATTATAAAAGAAAAAGAAAATGCAATATATATATATATATATATATATATATATATATATATATATATATATATATATATATATATATATATATATATATATATATATATAATTATAAAAGAAAAAGAAAATGCAGTTTCCATATATATATATATATATATATATATATATATATATATATATATATATATATATATATATATATATATATATATATATATATATACTTTTAATTCAAGATAATGATACTTTTAATTCAAGATAATGATTTTTGATAAATATCTCTAATACTCTTTACAGCGGTCGTTGGTATAGCACAGGTGGCTACCTGCCAACTGATGTGTTTACAGGGGGATACGAGGCAGACGGCAAAACACTTCACGTAGTCTGTGCTCACATTGATGGCGACTTTACACCTGGAAAATACGGGAAACATCTTAGTGGAGCCTGTATTCCGTACGGTGGTGAAGAAAAGGTTTGCGGATGGTTCTATTATCTGGCCAATAGCTATTACGAGAAATGGATTTATAGCTGGGAGGGCGCCTCAAACGGAAACGTCCCCCACAACGCTCTGAGGGTGGGTGAGGGGCTGTACGTGGGTCGAGTCCACCACGAGGGGAGTCTTATTCCATGTAAAGTTCACACAACTCATGGATGTGCTTATTTTGGTTATGACGGGAAAGAACACAAAACCAAGCAGTATGAGGTCCTCGTCTCCACATTGAAGTCTGGTCAGGCAGAGGAAGCGGAAGGGCAGAAAGAGGCTAAGGAATAGTCTCAATACAGCCGAGAAGGAATTGAATTTTCTCATAGATTGTGCACTCTGTAATGAAAAATATCGAAGCATAGAAATATAATGTAAATTTTAATTTTTCTAGTTCAGATAGTTATCAAATTTTAAATATTTCTGGATCATTACCTGTGAAAAATATTGATAATTTACTTCAGCTTGTAAATAGTTCTCTTGAATCTTTAGTAATATTTTAAAGCAACAACAACTTGCTCTGTGTGTATTTTAGATTATAGAATTTTATTTCTATAATTTTTATCATTTTTTTTATTCTACGATGGTATATCTTTGATACCCCTCTGTTGGCTCTTGAATGGAAATAAAGTAATGTTTTGTCAATTGTCTATAATTAACTTGCATAACATTGAAACAAATCTTCTGCATGTGATCTTTAGTATTAAGAAGGAAAACTTAATACATGATTGTTATAAGAAATTAAGGATGATTAAGGTAGATTGATGTATAACTACCTAAATCACGATCCTCTGCGGACAGTTATTCTTTACATTTACATGTTCTTCATTCCGCCAATCCACATGCTTCAAGCCCTGCTTCTTTTCTCCATTACTCCCGCCCTGCACATTTCTTTAACCTCGCCTATCGATGAAGCAGAGCATTGATGAGGAAATAAAGTACATTGACTATTTGTAATTTTAACCTTGACAAAGACATCAAAAAGGTAAATATTTATGAATAAATCTACTTTATACGAATATAAAAACATGGCTCAGAAAGGAGCACGATTTGTTACCATAGAAATTCCCATTTTTGGGGGGAGTCTCAGAGTACTTGCGTTTTGAATCAGGGTGACTTTTAACAAAGTAATGTTGTTGATGATCAATTATTGCTATTGAAATAATAGTTGTCTGTGATTCAAAAAAGCCTTGTTCATGATTTCGTAAGGAATGTGTTGTGTGATGTGTTGTATTTGTATTGTTTCATCTTGTATATTATTAGTAACATTTAGTTTCTTGAACATTCCAGAGTGGTCAACATGTTCGGTCATTTGATCTAGAACATTCTTAAATTTTGTGTATGTCCAGATTGTTCCAGTAATATCATGTTTTAACAATTTCTAGAATATTCTAGATTTATATTACTGTATAAATACCCTGTCAATTCGATGCATAGAAATACTTTGTCGTATAAGCACTATTGAGATATAAATGGGATATATTTTCACTGGGACATTGTGTGCAGCAACGGACACTCTGATGTATGTATTTTTAGATTCTTGCTAAGTTTGTACTTTATGTTTGATATATTTATTATATATTACTGTAAATAAATTATTGTTAAGTTTAAATTGTGTTATTGATCTTTGCTGGCATTTCGGGTAATTCTGACCCATAACAGAATTGGGGGCTCGTCCGGGATAAAGAATTTCTTGCACTTTTGCAGTTTATTGTCAGAATTTTTGTTAATTGAACCTTAAATTTAATTATAAGCCAGCAGAAATCAACATGGTGTTTTCGGTCACAGACTTTCTTAGTTCACCAAGTGTTCAGGTTTTTGATACGTTAAAAAAGGATGACTTGATCGCATTAGGTTTGCATTTTGGGTTAGATGTTAAATCCTCTCAGAAAAAGCAAGACATTAGAATTAAGGTTGCAAACAAACTAGTAGAAGAAAACATCTTTGAAAAATACGATCTTCCAGAATATACAGTTAAATCAGAGTTAGGCTCTTATAAGATGGCAGAATATCAGTTTCAATTAGAGTTAGAGAAAATGCGATTTGAAAGAGAAAAATTAGAAAGAGAAAGAGAAGAACGAGAGAGTGAACGAAAATTTGAATTAGACAAATTAGAAAGACAAGAGCGAGAAAGAGAGCGTGAAAGGAACTTTGAATTAGAGAAATTAAAATTACAGAACCAACCAGAACTGTCAGTTGTCAAAACTGAATTTGATGCAGCAAAAAATATCAGATTAGTTCCAAAATTTCAAGAAAAATCTGTAGACAAATATTTTCCACAATTCGAAAAGGTAGCAGAGAATCTTAAATGGCCACAAAATGTTTGGTCAACAATGTTACAAAGTGTACTGGTTGGAAAAGCGGCTGAGGTATACTCTGCACTAGGGGTAGTTGAGAGTTCAGACTATGAGAAGGTCAAAGCAGCAATATTAAAAGCATATGAATTAGTACCTGAAGCGTATAGACAAAAGTTCAGAAAGTATAGAAAGTTTGATAATCAAACATTTGTTGAATTTTCACGAGAGAAAGAAGATTTATTCGATCACTGGTTTAGATCTAAGAAACTTGATAAAACTTTTGCTAATTTGCGCCAAGTCATCCTAGTAGAAGAGTTTAAGGAATGTGTTACTCAAGATTTGAAAACACATCTAGAAGATAAGAATGTGAAAACTCTTGAAGAGGCAGCAGTCATATCTGATACTTATGCTCTGTCTCATAAAAAGAATTTTGTATCAAGATCTCAGACTAGCAGTAATTCTACAAATTCAGACACATATAAAAAGAGTGGTTCAGGGTCTCAGTCTTTCACAAGTTCCCAGTCTCCATCCCAAGGTGGTTTTAAGTCCGGTCCAGGACGTGTTGAAGGAGCGTCTGGAATAGGGTCGCTTCCTACTTGTAGTTATTGTAAGAAAAAGGGACATCTGATCAGTGAATGCTTTAAACTTAAGAGAAAAAATGATTTTGATAAAACTCAACCACATGCTTGTGCGGCAGTTAGAGGTGATAGAGAAGCCTTAGTTTCGATTTGTTCTGACACTCCTGATGTCCAGGGTTCACAGTCCAGTTCTATTGATTCTATGGAGGATTATAAGCCCTTTATGTCTCAGGGATTTGTTTCACTCGGTGACTCTAGCGAAATAAAACCTGTCCAGATTCTGAGAGATACTGGTGCTGCACAGACGTTATTGTTAGAGGGCGTGCTTCCTTTGTCTGAGCAGACTTCTACTGGTGGGTCAGTTTTATTACAGGGTGTGGAGCTAGGCGTCATTGATGTTCCCCTGCATAGAATTAGTTTGAAGTCAGATTTAGTTACTGGACCTGTTATCGTAGGCGTTCGACCTACTCTTCCCGTTCCAGGCATTTCTTTGTTGTTAGGCAACGATTTAGCTGGTGGGAAAGTTGTACCAGACTATAGTTTGTGAGAAGATCAATCCAGATGTCATGTGCGATGATGAAGATGATGACATTTATCCAGCCTGTGCTGTTACTAGAGCGATGGCCAGAAGACGAGAAATGGAGGCAGACCATACTCAAGCCTTTGACGAGACGAATTCCTCTGTTGATATTGATTTGAATGACACTTTCTTATCTGACCTTGATGGCACTCAAACCAGCATGGAACCACACAATATCAAAAAGCAAGAGAAGAAAGAATTTTTACCAAAATTTGGTGGTGAGGATGATGAGTTGCATCCACTAGTTAGCCAAGGCAAGGACATCCTCAGCCGAGAACGTTTACTCTCTGAACAACATAAAGACCCAGATATCATTCAACTTAGTAAGAGGGCACTTCCACCAGAAGAGGCTATTAAAGTTGGAGAATGCTTCTATATGAAAGATGGCATCCTTATGCGAAAATGGCGACCACCTGACGCTTCTCCAGATGAAGTGTGGCGTGTTGTTCACCAGATAGTGGTCCCAGCTGCTTATCATCGAGATGTCATGAGTTTAGCCCACGATACACCTATGGCTGGTCATTTAGGTATCAATAAGACTTATAATAGGATTTTGAGTCATTTTTATTGGCCTAAGCTAAGAAAGGATGTTTCGAAGTTTTGCAAGTCATGCCATGTCTGTCAGATGGTAGGTAAACCAAATCAGAAGATACCATCTGCTCCTCTCCAACCCATTCCAGCTTTTGAAGAACCGTTTAGTCGAGTGTTGGTGGATTGTGTAGGACCTTTGCCTAGGACCAGAACTGGAAACCAGTATTTACTTACCATTATGTGTACATCCACTCGATTTCCTGAAGCCATACCTCTAAGGAATATAAAGGCAAAGAGCATAGTTAAGGCCCTAACCAAGTTTTTCAGTTTTGTAGGAGCACCCAAGGCAATTCAGTCGGATCAAGGCTCAAATTTTATGTCGGGGTTGTTCCAGCAAGTCATGCATGAGTTGGGTATAAGGCAATATAGATCAACTGCTTATCATCCTGAGTCCCAGGGAGCGCTAGAACGTTTTCATCAAACCCTAAAAACAATGCTGAAGAGCCATTGTTACCAGTATGAGAAAGACTGGGATGAAGGGGTTCATCTTGTACTATTTGCTGCACGAGAAGCAGTCCAGGAGTCTCTTGGGTTCAGTCCTTTTGAATTGGTGTTCGGACATACAGTTAGAGGTCCTTTGAAATTGTTGAAGGAAAAGTGGCTGACTGAGACTAGTGATCTTAATCTTTTAGATTATGTGTCTGATTTCAAAGAAAAACTTTACAATGCTTGTAAATTAGCACAAGAAAATTTGAAGAATTCTCAGATGAAAATGAAAATGTGGTATGACAAAGATGCCAGAAATAGGGTGTTTAAGCCAGGTGATAAGGTTCTTGTATTTTTACCTATTCCTGGTCATCCTTTACAGGCCAGATTTTATGGCCCTTATGAAATTGAAAGCAAGATTAGTGATGTAAACTATGTAGTTAAGACACCAGGTCGACGTAAAGAGAAACGGGTTTGTCACATTAACATGTTAAAAGAGTATTTTGAAAGGTGTGACCGAAATTCTGTAAAACCAGTTTCCACTTTAGCCAATGCTAAGACTGTTCAAAATTGTATTGAAAGTGATACGAGTGTAGAAATGAATGAGAAAGATTGTAATCAGAGTGTTCGTTTGAAAAACTCAGAAATTTTGGCTGATTTTGATGCCAAACTTGGACATTTGAACATTCATCAAAAAGAACAAGTTAAAAACTTGATGAATGAGTATCATCAAATCTTTTCGGATGTTCCAAAGAAAACTAATGCAGCTTGTCATGATGTCATAGTGAGTGACGTTCTGCCTATCAAACAACATCCGTA